ACCTGGATTGGGTAGAAATCATTTTTTGAAAATTTTTGAAACTCAATTTTTTTTTGAAAATTTTTTGAAACTTTCTTTTCCAATTTTCAGCTCTGACTTCTGATTTCTGAAGTCTTCTCGCTTTCCATTCAATTCCCAAGCCGCTCATTCTCCCTTTTCAACTCTTTCAACTTGTCAGTAAACCTGAAAACCTTCCCTCAAACAACAAAAAGAAACATTTCAACGAATTTTGACCCTTTGAAATTCTTTGTTCTTTTGCACAATCCATTGCTTCCGCAATTCTTTTGAAGAAGCTATTTTAAGCATAAGAAAAAAGCATTCAAAACCCTGAATCGAGCACTAAAAGCTGGCACTAAAAATTCGGCATCAAAAGTTTTTCGTTTTTTTTTGTGTTATCAAAATCTGATGATCAAGATCTGATAATCAAGATTCAATATTTTTGAATCTTTTTTTAAGCCTTACTTTTTAAGACAAACTAATCTGTGACATCCATAGTCACCAAAAAACCAAAAACATTTATGACCATAAACAGGAGGGAAGCATTTCTTGGCCAATTCTGCTAGAGGTCTTCTAATTCTGCTAGAGGTCTTCCAATGCTGCTAGAGGCCTTCCAAGTCTTGGCCAATTCTGCTAGAGGTCTTCTAATTCTGCTAGAGCTCCTCCAATTCTTGGCCAATTCTGCTAGAGGTCATTCCAATGTCATAAAAAATGGGAAAACAAAGGGTTTCTGGAAAAAAACGCAAAAATTTCTTATGGCCCCCAGGGGTGCGCTTTAGCCGACCCTTTCCAGCAATGGGGTCGGAAATTTTTTGACTTCTGCTTTCCCCAAGTTTCCTTCAATCAAATAGGTCATTCATTTCTTGTGAACACTTTTTTGAAAAGCTTTCTTTCAAAAGCTTTCTTTAAAACTAGACTTGCCATCTATACATTTCCGTTTTTAGCCATTTTACGACATTTCAAAATTTCCCAGAGTTGACCACTAGTATTTTTGAATTTTTTGAATTTCAAACTTTTGATTCTCATTTTTAGCTTAAATTCTCTAGTGCGCTCCAGGATTTAAATTCGAGAAAGTTTCAGAAAAAAAATCAAACAAATCAACCAAAATTTTGCAGTGAACAAATTTTTATGCATCACTCCTTTGTTCCAATCTCTTTTCCATACTTACCAAATATTTAGAAACATTCAAATCTTAGCCTTTTCCATATTTCTTCCATTGTTCTTTCCAAATCAACGATGCAAAAAGAGTTCCGCTTCGCAATTTACAATGCTTGTCTTGCTTTTTGCTTATTTTTATTTTTTAGGAAGATGAGATGTGGAAAATCGCTTTCCTGAATCGGATAAAGTTCCAATATGGTTCCTTTCAATATGATTCCAATATGGTTCGGATACGGTTCCAATAAGGTTCGAATATGGTTCGGATACGGATACGGTTCCAATAAGGTTCCAATATGGTTCCAATATGGTTTCAATATGGTTCGGATAAAGTTCCAATATGGTTCCAACATCGAACAAATCAAAATTGCGATTTTGAAAGGAAGAAAGATGTCGAATCGAAAAATTGCAAAGAAAATAAAGTGCTCGCACCAAGTTGTCGCAAATTTCTTCAAGAATCCTTTCAATTATTTAAACGCCTTTCTACAATGCACCTTTCTAGATGATTTTTGCTTTGGGCAAGAGTCAACTCGGTCATTTTTTCTCATTTTTAGTCTGCTGAAAGTTTGTTGTTTAAATTTTCATGTGTCAAGATGGCAAGAGTCAAGATGAAATCCATCTTGAGAGCACTAACAGGTTACATGATATCCATCTTTTTGATATACTTTTCCAAAAGGCAACGATGCACCTAGCAGAGTTGAGCAATAAACTCAAAATCTTCAACTCCATTTTTTTAAAACTTCATTCTTTGAGAAAACAAAAACTTATTGACTTTAGCTATTAGTGTGACTTCCATGTCGAGTAAATCCAATGGGGATAATTTGGAAAAGCGCAAGATTCTTGATAAAAGCGCTCAAAATTCTTTCGGGGGAAGACTCTGGGGCTATTTAAAGGCTATGACGCTACTAATGTGCCGAATTCTTTAGAAGTGTCTTTCTTTATGGAGTGCACAGAAGCAACTGCTACTAAGAAAAGTATTGTTTGTAAATTTTATTCTCTTTTAGAATTATCCCATTTTTCCCGAATTCTTCAAAAAAGCGTACCAAATTACCAAAATTATCATGCACTTTTCTAGATGATTTTTGCTGTAAGCAAGAGTCAACTCGGATATTTTCTTATTTTTAGTCTGCTGAAAGTTGTTTGCTTTAATTTTGATGTGTGATCTCCATAACTTCCAACTCACTGCCCATTTTCAGTATAACCCTAAAAAAAAATCTACAACTCTGCTCTCTGAGTCGTGTTTCCCTCCAAATCCCAGACTCTATCGTGCATTTCCGTTTTAGCCGCTTTCCAAAAATCAGCAAAAACAAATGCTTTGGGCCATTTTGTTTTGAATACTTTTTGCAGAATGTAGTTGAAAATTTTTGATGGAGTGTGTTCACTTTTTAAAAAAATAAGATTTGGATATGTTTTGACTAGATAAACAAGGTGCTGAAAGAGCTGTCTTGTTGAAAAATTTCACAAAATTCCACAAAATATCCGCGTAAAACCTCTGGGGAGAGCATTTTGACTCTTTCACCGGGTTTGATGTGTTTTTGCAAATAAATCCCACTCAAAACAGCTACTCATTCATTTCTAGACATAGAAAGGCTACAGAAGATAAATTTAGATGCACTTTGGAGTCTGGCAAAGCTCTTGTCTTGCCTTGTCTTGCCTTGCTTTGCCTTGCCTTGCCTTCCTTGTCTTGCCTTGTCTTGTCTTGTCTTGTCTTGTCTTGCCTTGCCTTCCTTGCCTTGCCTTGCCTTCCTTGCCTTCCTTGCCTTGTTTTGTAAAGCTTTCTGGTACACCATTCAACAGTTTTTGTATTCTGTACGATGCCAAGCTCGTACAAAACCCAGAGCTCTCATTTTTCGATTGAAAATGGCATTCTGGATGGCACAGCACATTCTGAAACAGGTTAAAGGATCTCTATCGTTATCTACTAAATCCCAAATCGATCTTCTCATATATCCCCTATGATCTCAAGCCTGTAAAATGGAACACAGTTGTCAGATGTTCTCAATTTCACGCAAAAAGCACATCCTGGATAGCACAGCATAATTTAATTGCTTTACGATCTTGCGAGCTTTATCTGCACTACTTGACGATCTTGATAAGAATATTTGCAGAGTTAGAATATTATCAATCTCCAATTACTCATTCTATGACTAATCCCTTTATTTACTTTTTTCGTTATCTACTAGTGAGCAACTGATCTCTTTTCATTCTTAAACAAGTCAAAATTGGCTCTAAAAATTAGATCAAATTTTCCATTCATTCCTTCGACACAAACATCTAACATCACAATATATCAATTTTTTTTCGGAAACTTTTTTTTTGACAAATGACCCTCTCTATCATTTCCTTGTCACCTTTTCGATTCGAAATTTCTTTTTCTTTTACATTTTTTACTTAAATATTCAAATACTTTCAACTGCTTTCAAAACAAATTTTTTAGCACTAACGGGTTACCTGATATCCATCTTTTTGATATACTTTTCCAAAAGGCAACGATCCACCTAACAGTGTTGAGCAATAAACTCAAAATCTTCAACTCCATTTTTTTAAAACTTCATTCTTTAAGAAAACAAAAACTTATTGCCTTTAGCTATTAGTGTGACTTCCATCTCGATTAAATCCAATAGGGATAATTTGGAAAAGCGCAAGATTCTTGATAAAAGCGCTCAAAATTCTTTCGGAGGAAGACTCTGGAGCTATTTAAAGGCTATGACGCTACTAATGTGTCGAATTCTTTAGAAGTGTCTTTCTTTATGGAGTGCACAGAAGCAAATGCTACTAAATAAAAACCGATTTTCCAAAAGTTTTCTGATTTCTATTCAATTTCCATTTCAAAACTCTGAAATTGGAAAACTCCAAAAACCAGGAACTTCCCGAAAATCAACCTCAACTCTGACAATTTTATTGGTTCTTTTTTCTTCCCAGTGATTTTTGCATTGAGTGATTGAAAATTGACGAATCGAGACCGACAGTTCAATGATGTTCAATGGAGTGGAAAAATCACTGCCCTGAACTGCCGCTCTCCATGATTCAAATTCCATTTTCCCAATCTCTCTCTCTTTCTCTTCCCTCAAAAAACCCCTGCCTATTGCCTAGAGATCACATTTAAACCATTGTCAAACTAGCTATGACTTTTAGACATAGCTAGTTTGCTAGGCTAGTCCAATTTTCTGTCAGTCTAATTTTCACTGCTCTACCATCGCTTCACCAATTCAACCAGAATTTCAAAAGTTACATTTTTTACAAAATTTTACGCTCAACTGCCTAAATGTATCCCAAAACGAAAAAATCACTCAAAATTCTGTTTGAAAAAGTAATGTTAAAAGAGTAATTCCCTCAAAATCGTCCCATCAAAATCAACACTTTTTACAATGCCAAGAAATCTCGAAATTTTAAGTAACATTCGCTAGAGTGCAACCCATTATTTCAAAATTTTTTTAAACAAATCAAAAAAGTTGCCGCTAACCGCGGGAAAAGTCTCAAAATTTTCATGTGTCACAACTCTGAGCGTATTTGAAGCTCATATCGCACCGGCAAGTGTTTCAAATTACTTGAAAATACTTTCATGGAGTGCATTCAAGTTAATGCTTAGCTAATTGAGCTAATCTAGCAAAATCTAGAAAACCTCAATTTTCTAACTGCTTAAATTTAAGTTTTAACATTGTGAACAGTTCTTTGCTCAACCTGCAGCACCCGGAAGTTCCATTAAAGTCGTTTCTTTCCTTTGTTTTCCTAAATGCAGTCGTTACTTTTGATTGATGCCTTTCATAAACGACATTGAAAATTTTATTGTTTCCGATTTTTTCCAATTTTTTTCCTTTTTTTTTCAAATTTTCAAAATCCAACTTTAGATGCAGAAACCGCTTCGCCCGGCTCGAAATATCCGATGGCCTCTCAGTCAAACGAAAAAGGGAAGCTTCGAGAAGAAAACCGCATCATGTAAGCTCAAAAAAAATATCAATTTTTATTTAAACTCAATTTTTATTTAAAATTCTCCCGTTCTCGATCAAAATTTCTTAAAAAAATGAACGCTTTCAAGTATTTGTCGTTGAAATTTCTCTGGGATTCCCTCAATAAACATTCTCAGGGTTTCCGCACTCAAAAATTCTTCAACCAACTAATCCACAATAGGAAAAAAAGATGAGTGGATGAGTGAAAGTGACGTCAATAACCCTAGACAGTCATCTTTTATTCTTTCTTTACTCTTTCTATTACTGTTCTTTCCATTACTGTTCTTTTCATCAATTCCCACAGTGTCCCTCTCTTCTCTTCCTCTTTTTAAGCTACTTAACCCTTTCCAATTCCCTTAACCCTTTCCTATTTCCTGTAGAATGACGTACTGAGTTCAACAATAAAAGTCAATCAAAAAACTTGATTTCCAATCAAAACAGGCAAATCCATAGAAAAACTGTCACCGTTTCAGCAACATTTTTCTAATCATCAAACTTGTTGTGTTTTAGAGCACTAACAGGTTACATGATATCCATCTTTTTAATATACTTTTCCAAAAGGCAACGATCCACCTAGCAGAGTTGAGCAATAAACTCAAAATCTTCAACCTAATTTTCTCAAAATTCATTCTTTAAGAAAACAAAAACTTATTACCTTTAGCTATTAGTGTGACTTCCATTTCGATTAAATCCAATGGGGATAACTTGAAAAAGCGCAAGATTCTTGATAAAAGCGCTCAAAATTCTTTCGGAGGAAGACTCTGGAGCTATTTAAAGACTATGAAGAATTAATGTGCCGAATTCTTCAGAAGTGTCTTTCTTTATGGAGTGCACAGAAGTAAATGCTACTAAGAAAACGGCGCTCCAGGATCGCATAATCTTTCGAAAAATAATGTGGCTGAACAGGCATATCCATAGAAAAAAATTTCACTTTCTCGGTTTCAGCAACATTTTTCTAATCATCAGAGCACTAACAGGTTACCTGATATCCATCTTTTTGATATACTTTTCCAAAAGGCAACAATCCACCTAACAGTGTTGAGCAATAAAGTCAAAATCTTCAACCTAATTTTCTCAAAATTCATTCTTTAAGAAAACAAAAACTTATTCCCTTTAGCTATTAGTGTGACTTCCATCTCGAGTAAATCCAATGGAGATTTTATATAAAACTTGTAACAAATTCCCCACCAATCTCAGACATCTTTCTTGCCTCAACAGACTCGTTCGAAAATAGGTTCAACTCTTTTAAACAAGCACTCAAAAATCCTCTCATATTCTAGACGTTCTCAAAAAATCATTGGACATTGAGCTCACTCAAGAATTGTGGAATATGAGTGGTGGAGAAGTGGAGAAGAGAAAAAAAGAGATCTGTGGTGCACTTAGGGAGCACTCAGAAATGACCTCATCTTACAGAAAGCACAAATTTCTAAAGCTCATCGACAGCAAGATTTTCAAATCTTAACTTCACTTCTCTGATTCCCCGATCTCCCAAAATAACTGATGACCTCAGTAAAGGAAGAGATCAATTGCGATCATTCATTCGAGAGCGATTTGAAGGGGATTTGAAGTGCTTCACGAAGGGGATGAATGGATTGCAGAGAATGCAGAGAATCGAATCAAAATTGAAATACACTCACGATGATTCATTTAATAGAATCACAGAGATTCTATTTTAGACTCAAGTTAAGATCTTTTTTTTTTTAACAAAATTCAAATCAAACCATGACCGCTTGGTCATGAAGCCAATAATTTGCAATGTTTGTTTCACTAGTTCCCTTTTCCCATTTGCTTCCTTTTTTCCCAATATTTTGCCGCGAATAAATTATTGGCTTCAACGTGGGTGACTCAGTTTGTTGAACTTTTTGTTGGATAGCGTGCCTGCCATAATAACTCAATTAGTTCAGAAAATTTCTTATATCGACCAAGGTTTTATGAAAAAGACTCAAAATTTTCAAAAGACAAAACCATGACCTTCTGCTTATTTCTCATTTGTAAATTCTTCTTGCTTAGCAGATTAAATGCGTTCCAGAATCGCATAATCTTTCGAAAAATAATGTGGCTGAACAGGCATATCCATAGAAAAACTGTCAAAATTTCACTTTTACCGTTTCAGCAACATTTTTCTAATCATTAAACTTTTTGTGTTTAAGAGCACTAACAGGTTACATGATATCCATCTTTTTGATATACTTTTCCAAAAGGCAACGATCCACCTAGCAGAGTTGAGCAATAAACTCAAAATCTTCAACTCCATTTTTTTAAAACTTCATTCTTTGAGAAAACAAAAACTTATTGCCTTTAGCTATTAGTGTGACTTCCATCTCGAGTAAATCCAATGGGGATAATTTGGAAAAGCGCAAGATTCTTGATAAAAACGCTCAAAATTCTTTCGGGGGAAGACTCTGGGGCTATTTAAAAGTCACAACACTACTAATGTGTAGAATTCTTTAGAATTGTCTTTCTTTATGGAGTGCACAGAAGCAAATGCTACTAAGAAAAGTATTGTTTGTAAATTTTATTCACTAGGCTTTTAAAAATCCTCTTTTAGAATTGTCCCATTTTTTCCAAATTCTTCAAAAAAGCGATCAAATTGCCAAAATTATCCTTTTTGTCTCAACCAAGGAGAAGTCTTCTTTATTTAGCCACTTTAGAATACTTTTTATTTCTCAAGTATTAAAAATAGTTGAGAAAGCCTAAAATTCCAATCTTAAACGTTTTGATTTTTGCCCTTTTTGCCTTTTTGCCTTTTTGCCTCACACTTTACTGTGTATTTATATTTGCTCGCTAATTTGCCCGTTCATTCCCTTTTCTTCATTTCTTTTCTCCCTTCTAGACATCCAAATTACAAGCCCGTTTTTTCGCGACAAAAAATTCTCTCTCTCTCGGGATTTTCTTAATTCTTTAGCCTTTTTTTGCTTTGGTGTGAAAAGAAAAGGGGCTATACATGCTCTAAAAATAACTCGCTCACTCCATTTTGGCCCCCATTTTGGCCCCAATTTTGGCCCCAAAAGCTAGTAAAGAACGAAAAAAACTGCAGCTTTTCGGATGGAAATTTTTTTTTGATTTTTTTTTTGATTCGAGATTTCGAAATTTTCATTGAGTTTTACTTGTTTTCATATTTTGCATTTTATTTTCAAAAGATTAAAAACTTTTGCTTTAGTTGATTTCCTGAAAGAAACCAGTCAGCATTATAATATTATTTTTTTCAAATTTCCTCTCAACAACAAATCTTTCCGAAAATGTCAAATCAAAAATTTCCCATTTTTGTAGTTTCCGCAGCTTTCCTCCATTCCATTTCTCATTTTTCTTTTTCAGACTAAGCCAAATCTAAAGATTAATGGATATTTTGGGGACTATATAGACAGCTAATCTTTACGAAAATCCCCCAGCTTTGCACAGTTCACTTCAATTCAGATGATCAAAAATCGATCCCCATTGTGATTCTCCCATTCTCATTCAGGAGTCAAAACAAACAGTTTTGGCTTCAATGCTGGGGAAATAATAATAACACGATTTTTTTTGGTTTCTCGGTGTTTCAATCCAGTGTCCAGTTCAATCCAGAATTTAGAACTACTATGATTTTTTTGAAACAAGGCAATGCTATCGAATTTATCAGTTCTATACCTACTGTGACTTCCAGAATTATCAAATCCGTTACCAAAATTTTTGTAGTTTATTTTATATGGCTCTATGGCCTCCAGAGTTTTCAAGATCCATTACAAGAATTTTAAGACATAACAATTTTCGTAGTTTATCAGCTTCTACACCTAATGTGACCTCCAGAATCACCAAATCCGTTACCAGAATTTTTATAGTTTATTTTTATATGGCTCTATGGCCTCCAGAATTTTCTAGATCCATTGCAAGATTTTTAAGACATAACAATTGTTGTAGTTTATCAACTTCTACACCTACTGTGACCTCCAGGATCACCAAATCCGTTACCAGAATTTTTATAGTTTTTTTATATGGCTCTATGGCCTCCAGAGTTTTCTGGATCCATTACAAGAATTTTAAGAAATAGCAATTGTTGTAGTTTATCAGCTTCTACACCTGCTGTGACTTCCAGAATTATCAAATCCATTACAAAAATCTTTATACTTTATTTTATATGACCCTATGACCTCCAGAGTTTTCTGGATCCATTACAAGAATTTTAAGAAATAGCAATTGTTGTAGTTTATCAGCTTCTACACCTGCTGTGACTTCCAGAATTATCAAATCCATTACAAGAATTTTTATAGTTTATCATTTTTAGTGAAAAACTCGAACAATCAGCTTCTAATCCGTCAACTCTGACCTTCCATTGTTTTTCCGTTTTCTAATCCTTTTAATTTCCCCCGCCCACCCATCGGTCATCTGTTCCCAATAACGTTTAAAACCCCAAGATCTTTGAGATCTTTAAATCAACTCTCTCCGCCAATTCCCCGCTAAAATCAAATTGTTTACGTGACTCACGACAAATCTAACTTTCCCTATTTTTAGTGAAAAAAGTGGCTAAAGTGTCTGCGTCAGAGCCTCGTCGCTCACAGCCTACTATCGCTTTGTGTCCATCCCCCACACACCGCCAATCTATGCTCTTTTCCATCTCAATGCTGGGTCCATGATCCTGGAAGAGTCAGCTGCTGGGAGGAGTTTTTGGGGAGAAGAGAAGGGGGTACTACTGGGCCCTCTTTGGACTCTGAGCCCCACCTTTGGGACCCTTGGACCTTCTTTTCCCCAATTTTTCTTTTCCTTTCAATCCCCCATCTTCCCCCAACATCGTTATATTTATTACTCTTACTCTGACCAAAGCCATTCGCTTTCTACCGAACAATGATGCCAAAAATTTTGTTTTTTAAAAAGTTAATAAACTTTTTGAGCATTCTGGAAGTCATTCTTTAACTTAGCTTTGAGAATTTGATATCTCGGTTTAAAAAAATTTTGGGTCCTTGGACCTTGAATCTGCTTATAGCCAAATTTTGAATATAAACTTTTAGTTTTCAAGATTGAAACCTTTTTTTGGGCGAGCTGGAACGCATCCTCTTCCTCGATAAGCTCTGATTATCCGAATTTCGAAATCATATAACTCTTGCAAACATTGTTGACTCTTCTTTGTAAGTCTTGATCAACTGGATTCAATTTCCGTTTTCTTTTCCAAATCCTTTTCATCGATTCTCTTCAACCTTTAGTCACAAACAGTTGAACGAAAGCTCTTTTCCCTAAAATCTCCCCCGGGGTCAACCCATCTATCAGAGGGAAAAATTAGAAGAACGGCAAAGGGAAAAGCTGACGGGAAGTCATTTTCATTGAGAGAAAAATAAAAAAAGCTCTCAAGGGTAGGAATTTTTTTCTTTTTTAAGGCATTTAGCTAATTTTTAAAATTCGTTGGCTGCTGTGACCTCCAGGATCACTAAATTCATTAAAATTTCCGTGTTTATCAGTTTCAATGGCTACTGGCACCTCCAAAATCTTCCAGTGCTTTCAAACAGTTTCAGGGTAAAAGGGAATTTTTGTAGTTTTTTCAGTTTCTATGCCTACTATGACCTCCAGGATCACTAAATTCATTAAAATTTCCGTGTTTATCAGTTTCAATGGCTACTGGCATCTCCAAAATCTTCCAGTGCTTTCAAACAGTTTCAGGGTAAAAGGGAATTTTTGTAGTTTTTTTCAGTTTCTATGCCTACTATGACCTCCAGGATTGCCAGAAACGTTAAAAGAATTTCTGTAGTTTACTAAACCCCATGACCACTGTGGCTCCCAGGATTCGCAAATCCATTACAAGAATTTCTGTAGTTTATCAAATCCAATGACTACTGTGACCTCCAGAATCTTTGATTTCAGCGTCCAGAAGAGCTCAATATTATTTTTTTACAAGGCTTCGCTCCCAAAATACTCGCACACTATTCTTTTAGCAGAATCGTGTTGATTTCTGTGTGCTTTGGTTGTTTCCAGTCCTTATTCTGCACTCCAGGACTTCCAAATCTTCAGTCTAAAAACGGCTGACCTATCCATAATCTGAGTTTTTCTCATTCATCCGGAAACCCCTTTCTACTCATTTATGACAATTCACAGAATCAGTCAAAAAGCCCGTATTTTCTCGATTTCCATTTTTTTTCCTCGAAAAGCTAATCCCCTTGTTTTCCCCTCTTTTCTGCATAAAAGCCCGTTTTTTGTTTTCCCGGAAATTTTCCAAAAACTTCAAAATTTGTAGTCAAACATCTGATATTTTCAATTTCGAAAATTTCTAAATTTTTGAAATTTTTCCGAGTGAATCATGCAGGTACAAATTTGAATTGAAAATCTCGATTCTTAGCTAAAATCAGAATCCTCAAAGAGGATTTTTAAAAGCGTAGTGAATACAATTTGCAAACGATACTTTTCTTAGTAGCATTTGCTTCTGTGCACTCCATAAAGAAAGACACTTCTAAAGAATTCGACACATTCATTCTTCATAGCCTTTAAATAGCCCCAGAGTCTTCCTCCGAAAGAATTTTGAGCGCTTTTATCAAGAATCTTGCGCTTTTTCAAATTATCCTCATTGGATTTACTCAAGATGGAGGTCACGCTAATAGCTAAAGGCAGATTCTTAGCTAAAATCAGAATTTCTGGAACTCAAACAGAAAGTGTAGATGTAGTTTTGAGAACAAATTTACAAACAATACTTTTTTTAGTAGCATTTGCTTCTGTGCACTCCATAAAGAAAGACACTTCTAAAGAATTTGGCACATTACTAGCGTCATAGCCTTTAAATAGCTCCAGAGTCTTCCTCCGAAAGAATTTTGAGCGCTTTTATCAAGAATCTTGCGCTTTTTCAAATTATCCTCATTGGATTTACTCAAGATGGAGGTCACGCTAATAGCTAAAGGCAGATTCTTAGCTAAAATCAGAATTTCTGAAACTCAAACAGAAAGTGTAGATGTAGTTTTGAGAAAAAATTCGGAGAATCCCGAAATCCCTTGAGATTTTCTAGTATTTATTTCTAGTGACTTCCAAAAGTTCAAATTTTTTTGTAAACTTTATATCTTTTCGTTTTCAATTTCTATATTAACCTTCAAAATTTTGCTTTTTCGAAATTTAAAATTCAAAAATCCGATCCCACTTCAAAATAATGAAGTCGTTTTTTAGTGTGACTTCCAGGATTGACAAAATCGGTGTTCATTCGCCTCGTACAGCTAATAAATTCAGAAAAAAATGATTCGATTCCATTAATTCGATTCCATTATAGCTTTCCTTCAAGATTCTCCCCCATTTTTCCGATTTTTTTGCTCAAAAATCGAAATCTCTTTCTCCAAAACAACTTAGAACTAAATCCTGATGAGTTTTCTTTTTTTTAAATCCGCAAAATTGTGGAAACCCGTCTGGGGAAATCTTGGCTACAACTAAAAGATAAACAGCAAATGCAAATTTCTCAGCAAAGAGTACGGTAATCGGGGTGATTCAACCCAGATGCGTTCCAGTTTTCTCAAAAATCATTCTCCCATGCATCTAACTTTACAACAGCTCAATTTATAGCCTCAAAATTTTCCATTAAAACTCAAAAATAGCTAAAATAGCTAAAATAGCTGTTTGAATCGCTTCAACAACTTCCTCCATTCACTTTCCTTTTAAATATTTACATTTCTGAGCGTAACCAGTTTTCTTCTTCTTCCTGATTCTTACAGCTTTTAGCATAAAGTTCGCTTTGTTGTCTTTTCCGTCAAAAAATTGGCCTTTTCCCTGCCCAGCCCTGGGAATTCGACCGGTTCTTCCGGGAAATTTGCCTCTTTGCTTCTTTGCTTTGCCTTTTTCTTCAAGAAGAATGACTGACAAGTGAAAGAAACGACAGAAATGAACAAATTTCTATTCACTGATTCAACACTTTCTTTTGATATCTACCAGTTTTCTTTGTAACACCTCTGTCTCTGACATATTCACTTGAAAATCAACCTAGAGAAATTTTATTTCGCTCATAAGCTAACGTGCTATCCAGCTTCAAAGAAAATTTAGTAAATCTCAAAAAATTTTGGGTCTTTGTGTTGTAAAAATACTCAGAGTTTTCCGATACTCATAAACAGCTTTGGACAATGACTCGATTGACTCAATTTTCTCAATGCATTAGCTCACCTGCTATCCAGATTATAAGAAAATTAAGTAAATCTCGAAAGATTTTGGGTCTTTGAGTTGTAAAAATACTCAGAGTTTTCCGATACTCACAAGCAGCTTTGAACATTGACTCAGTTGACTCAATTTTCTCAATGCATTAGCTCACCTGCTATCCATAATTGATAAAAAATTGTTCAAAAGTTTAAATCTTTCAAAATTTAGGTGGTAAATAGTCTCAGAGTTCTTCCATACTCACAATCCACTCGTCGACCATTCCAGATTTTTCACATTTTCACAATATTTACAAAATTTATCTGAAAAGAAGCCATTTACAAGAGGTTCTTGACTAGACGGATCGAAGGGTTTCTCTAAATTCTCAAAATCTTTCTAGAATCTCCACCAAAATGCTTTAAAAGCTCATCCAAATAAGCATTTCCTCGTTTTTTCTTCTTTCCTTTTCCCCAAAAGCTAATCCATTCCCAAAAGCGGCCATTATTGCCCTCGTAGGCCCGAAAATCTGACCTAAATCTTCTCAGAAACTTTCTCCAAAACTTTTCATTAACTTTTAGCTTTGTTAGCTGTGACCCAGACGACTCGATTCAGCAAAATTGGAAATTTGACTCAAAAAGCTCTGGATTGTCATTGACATTGACAAATCTGGATGTCACACTGTATTTTGAAAGCAAAAAATTTTACATTTTTCCACTTTCTGACTCATTTCAATTCCAAAAAAAGCTAATCTCAGCAAAATTTTTAAAATTCTCATCACCAACTTTTTTCATTTTCAAAAGCAATGATGATTTCCATGATTTCATTTCGCTTTCTTTATTTTCCATTTTTTCCATTTTGAAGTTCTCTTTCCCCTTCGTCATTCTCGTCACCGTGTTTATTTATTTTCCCTGTTTTTCGATGTCCTTTTTTCTCCATTTCTGAAATTATATGCTTTTTGTTAGCTCAGCTCGTAGGTGTGAGAATTCTCATTTTTTCATTTCTAACTGAATCTTCAAAATTCTATTTTCTAAATTTCAAAAACAAACCCAAACTCTAGCCCCGTTTTGGCCAGTGACATCCAGGATTGCCATTCCAATTCCTAAAATTTGAATACCTCTCAAATCTCCGTCCCAAAACCCTCAAAATCTTCACCAACCAATCTTGACCAAATTTGAAAATTTGAAAATTTTCAAAATCTACTCAAATTTCTAGACTTATTTTCTGTCGTGTGCTCCAGAATCCCCAAATTTTCTATAAAAATTGTGAATTCAGTGCTCAGCTGCATGTGTTCGATTGGGGAAAGCGATGGCGAGGAGAGGGAACGGGCAAATCAATCACCGTCCCCTACACTGCCCCCACTATCACCGAATAGAATGACCACATCACTGACGACTTCTGCCACATTCACATTGCTTGATAAGAACAATAATGCGAAGAAGCGAGCGGCTGCAATGGCTGGTGAGTTGGATATACGTTTCTAAAATTGCAAATCTTAGAATCTTACAAAAGTCAAAAGTTTTCTACTCTGCGGGTCTTGTGATATCCAACTAAAACATTTCAGCATTATAAGGCTCAATTAATGGCTTGAAGACCGTTAAAACCTTTCAGAGTTTTGCAGAGCGTTGCATAAAAGCTCTTTTTTCACGCTCTCTCAATTCTAGTCTTTCCCATTATAGCTTGATATCCAACTAAGATACCTAAACATTTAAATTCCCAAAAAAATGACATCAAAGTCTAGTAGTGCAATCAGATCAATTTGAGACTGCAATGACGCTGCTCAGTCTCTTCCCTAGCTCTTCCCCAGCTTCCCCAGCTTCCCCAGTCTCTTCCCCATCTTCCCCAGCTCATCAATCTTTTAACTTTCACGTCTCAAGAGGTCAAAGCATAATTCTAATGAGCTTAATCAACAAGATGTAAAGTAAATAGAAAAGAATCACAAGAGAATGGAAAAGAGAAACTGTCGAGGAGGAGAGGAGAGGACAGTGCTGAGGAGAAAACTCGATTCTTTTCTCTTTTCTCTTTTCAGTCCTTTCCTCTTGAGGAACTGTATGGAACGGCCTTCCCTTCCTCTTCCAATTCATTTCATTTTTCATTCCATTTCTTCTCTGTGCAACTTTGCCATTCTTCTTTCTGCTTTTCCTCTAAGAATTTTTCTATAAAGCCGGTTAAAGTCTGACAATAGTCTAAATAATGTGAGAGTTCAAACTTTCCCATTACTGTTCAACTCCATCACTCCAAACAACTTACTTGAAGGTCTAGAGCTATGATAGTACCCCTGTAGCCTTTGGTAGCTGGGTTCTACTGGCAGCTGGGTTCTAGTAGTAATCCAGATATGTTACGTATACCCCTAGTGCTCTTGTACCCAGTTTAAAAGACGATCACTTGAAAATCAAGCTAGAGAAATTTTATTTCGCTTCTAAGCTGATGTGCTATCCAGATTAAAAGAAAATCAAGTAAATCTCGAAAAGTTTTGAGTCTTTCATTTGTAAAAATACTCAGAGTCTTCCGATACTCACAAGAGCTTTAGACGTTGACTCGATTGACTCAATTTTCCCAATGCATTAGCTTACCTGATATCCAGATTATAAGAAAATTAAGTAAATCTCGAAAGATTTTGAGTCTTTGAGTTGTAAAAATACTCAGAGTTTTCCGATACTCACAAGCAGCTTTGGACATTGACTCAGTTGACTCGATTTTTTCAACGCATTAGCTCGCCTGCTATCCATAATTGACAAAAAAAATCCTACATTTACATTCTGGTCCTACAGTTTATACTTTTTCTTCTTCTCATTCTTTTCTAGACCATTGAGGGGTCATCTCTCCCCACCCACTCATCCCCATTCTTCTCACCTTTCTTTTCCTTTTCTCCATTCATTTTTTCATGTGCATTCAATTCTCCTTTCCTCCTTTCCTCTTAATCCTTTTTTTCTAGTCTTTAAATAGACAGACTTTTTTATAAAGCACTATGAGCTACAGTAACCCAGTTTTGTAGACTTCGATTTTTCAATAAAGTTATAGCTTTACTAAGTACTGTGACATCCAGATAACCCAAATAATTTGTTAGAGTGCCATTTTAAAAATCAAATAATAGAATTTCTAGACATTGTAAATTTTGCTCTAACAGTGACATCGATTTTTGACCATACTGGATTTTCTATAAGTTTTACAGGCTCCGTGCGCTCCAGATAGCTGTCAACAAGTAGCAAAATAATGATCTCTTTTTGATTAAGAGCTAGAAAGACGTACTGTACTGAGTACAATGTAAATAGACTTATCCGGCTTTTTCTTTCTATATTGGGAAGTAAATAGTGACAAGAGTGATCGAAAAATCATCTAAAAAAAGGCTTTTGATTAGAAATTGAAGGAGTTATTTCGATTTTTCAGCAAAATTGAACGGAATCTCGTTGGAAACTGAAGAATTAACGCTAGTTTTCAACGACGAAGAAACGCAAAGCTCAGGTTTGAAATTTTAAAATCCAATTCCCATTCCATTATCTTTTAAATGCTAATTTCAATAGATGACATCATTTTCGAAAAATTGATGCTTTTTGCTAAAACTAATAAGCTCAATGTTCCTAGTGACTTCCAGAATCATCGATTTATTCGATTATTTCTAGACTCGCTGACACAATCGTCTCGTGGCAGCTCTGAACCAAAAACCTCGGATCTCTCCTCTGAAAGCGGAGAAGAAGACGAGAACTCCTCTTTGAGAACCCTGCCACCGATGGACTACCCACCAATGCTACAAGATTTAGAAGCCGTTTGCACGATTGGTTCGTTTTTTTGAAAGATCTGATCAGCGGAGTGTTTCGTAGTCGGAGTGTCGCGTAGTCGTTATCAAATCGACTAGAATCGCCACCAAAAGCTTGTGTGCGCTCCAGGATTCCCATTTCTTTAAGAAATTTTCCAATAATGTTAAGCTACGTGACACTCCGGGGCTCCGTCAGAGTCAGATCGATGAAAATCGTCGTTTCTCGCCTTTTTTTAGAACATTGAACCTTCAAATACGCTTTATTTCTCAATTTTTCCATTTTTGTGCCTATTTGTCATCAAATTTACGATTCCATTCTTGGAAAATCCCGAGAAAATCTTAAATCAAAAAAAAAAAATTTCTTTAAATCTCTCGAAAATCTCAACTTTATTAAACGATGTGCACTCCAGATTATTGAAAAATGAATGATTTATCCCTAAAAGCTTTGAGAAATATCGAGAAAATGCCTCAAAATCTTCACCGTCCCTTTGTTTTCCCTCTCCAAAGAAGCCAATTGGAAATTTTTGCGAAAATTCGAAAAACAATCAAATTTTTTAGTCCAAAAATATCCATTTTTCATCGTAAAATCAACAAAATTTGATTTGTTTTGAAGAAAACAATAAAAATAGGGAAACCAAAAAGTACAAAAAGCTTTTTTATACTTTTTTGAATCTAAACCAGACAAGGAATGAAAATTTGAGCGAAAATTTTTTTGTAAACAGGTTTAGAAATGATTTCTGAACAAGATATTGGCTTTCTTTTTGCTGAGTGATTAAAGTAAAGGGTTTTGAGTGAATTGAATGACTTGCATCGTACTTGCGGTCGGGAGAATCGTACTTGCCGTACGAGAATTATGAATCAATCAATCAAGCCGACAAATTTTAAGTTAAAATCAATTTCTAGAAAAGTTTTGAGAGAAAAGCACTGACCGGGATCGAACCCGGCGGAGAAGAGGGGGAACCGACTGCAAATCAAACCCGTTAACCACTCGGCCACGACCCTAATTTCCCTCGCCATCGTTTAAAGCTTTATCAAGTTCTGCAAGAGTTTTGATAAGAAAAGCACGAACAGGGATCGAACCCGGGAGGAGGGGAGGGAGAACCGATTTGAAATCGAACCCCTTAACCACTCGGCCACGAGGCTACCCCGACCGCCCTCGTTAAATACTTCATAAATCCAATTTCGATCAGAAAAGCACTGACCGGGATCGAACCCGGGAGAACGAGAAGAGCAACCGATTCCAAATCCAACCCCTTAACCACTCGGCCACGAGGCTACACCGACCTCCCTCGTTAAATACTTCATAAATCCAGCAAAACTTCCGATAAGAAAAGCACCAGCCGGGATCGAACCCGGGAGGACGCAGAGACCAACAGATTTCAAATCGAACCCCTTAACCACTCGGCCACGACGACACCTCGCTCGGACTCATTAAAAGCTTTATAAAGACCGTCTGGAATCGAAAGCCCATCAGATTTTTCTTTAAATTCTACTTTTTTACACAAAATATCGTTTTTTCTAAAAAAACATAATAATTAGATTAGTTTTCTATTTTTAGCTAAAATGCACCTAAATCCGTCTACAAATTCCCCAAAAAAGACTATTTTTGATCATTTTTCCTCTTTTTCCCTGACCTTTGTCGGATTTTTTTCGCGTTTCTCCTTTTTTGGAACCTCAAAAGCTGGTGTAATCCCCCATAGAACACAAATAGAAACTAGCCACAGCAAAGGAAAGTATTTTCTTCTTTACATTTCTTCCTTTTCGCTTCTTTGAGTCAAAAATCAAGGTGAAGAACCAGTTCCAGTGTTGGAGAAAAATTTTCTCAACCACAAGCAATCCTAGCCATCCCAAGTTACAGTGTGACATCCAGATTAGACGAAAATAGCTAAATTTACTTAGATCGATGTTTGTTATTGTTGTTTTTTTTGCGAAGACTCGCTCAAGTCGACCATGTTTTCGTTTTTTCGACAAACAGAGTCTGTATTTATGTTTGAACAATCTCATTTTGAAAGCCGAAATGATGAAAGGAAAATTGAAGAGTCAAGGGCGAAAGGAAAGCTCACGTCTTGGGGAAACCTGATTTTTTCAAATCCCAGAGATGTGAAATACTAAAAAGATAGTTATAGCTGATTTAAGTAGCTAGAAGTCTGCTGTGCGTTCCAGATTCGCCAAAAATATTGAAAACATAACCACACGATGAATCAGGGGCTCTAAAAATCGCTCCCGTTCAACCACACCACTCACTCTCTCTAAAATCTAGCAATCACGATTTTAAGTTTCTAGAAGTCTGCTGTGCGTTCCAGATCGCTCAAAAACAGTTTTAAAATAAATATTCAGCGATAAAATTAGATCCAAAAGATCACTCGTACTTTCGTACATCCACTACTGCCCCACCCTTCCCCTTCCCCGTTCCACAATCAATCCATATCCCTTTTTCTTCCCTATCCCCTTTCCCTTTCGCCGATTGTGCGTCAGAATGCGTTTCGCATTGTTTGCCCGACCATCGAAAAGTCCCCCAAGAGTCGCTTTTTGTCCCCCCTTCAAAACCCCGGAACCGAACGGAAAATAACTATTTTTTAAAAAGTTCTCGGGGATCTGGAACACACCAGGAAAATTGGAGGTTGTAAAAACTCTCAGAAATCAATTTTGAAATTTTTACAATTTGATGAATGCACCAGGTGGCCTGCGTTTCCAGAAAAGCTTACTGTAAGCCCATTGACTCTTCTAGTTATGAGTCGTGAGTTCCAGAAAGGCTAAAAATACCCGCCACCTGGTCAGATCATGCTCGGGGAGAGGCTGGTTGATCTCCAAAGCTATCGGCGAAGGGAAAACACATCTGGATCTCAAAAACCCATTTGGAAACGAGTGTAATTCGAAACAAATGTTTTTGAGGAGTTGAGGAGTTCGAGTTTTCAGAGATTTGGGGTAAAATCCCGTCATAATCGTACAAATCTCAGATTTCACTAGTTACGGGCTTAAATGTTTCCCAGGCAATCCAAGTTTTTTCCTTTTCTTCTCAAAATCACCCAGCAAGTAATCCGATACTTCCCCTTGAGAGTTTCCTTGAGAAAAAGCTTCTACTGAAATGCTAGATCAGTAGTTGAAATTCAGGTTCAGGGTTCAGGGTGATTTCTTAAAAACGGTAGGATAAAAGTCAAAAGGAAAGAATTAGGATTGCTTTCTGGAACGCAGGATACCTATTGCATGAAAGAAAAACCGTATTTTTACAAGATTCGGTTTTAGACTAGAAGCCAGTGCACTAGACAGTGATTGTTTGCATATTAGTGGACAAAAGCTGAAGCTGATGGTATTAAACGGCCATCTGGAACGCAGGATACCTATTGCATGAAAGAAATACCGTATTGTTGCCAGATTCGGTTATAGACTAGAAGCCAGTGCACTAGACAATGATTGTTTACATATTAGTGGACAAAAGCTGAAGCTGATGGCTTTAAACGTCTTCCTGGAAGGCACAACAAACTTTGAATCCTCTAGTTTACCGGAATTTGTTTTTCTGAGCTCATCGAATCATCAGCTGATCCACTTGACCTCAAGAATCGAGATGAGATCAAATTTCGATCCGATTCATCCCTTTGAATCGACGATCAGATGATTTTTGTCTACAAGTCAATAGTTGACTGTATTGTGGGATGAAAACAAACACCGACTCCTCATCTTCTTTCATCTCTTTCAACATGTTCATGCACTCATCTCTCTCTCTTTATCTTCCTCTTCTTCTTCTTCCTCTTCTTCTTCTTCTTCCTCTTCTTCTTCTTCTTCTTCTTCTTCTTCTTCCTCTTCTTCCTCTTCTTCTTCTTCTTCTTCTTTAGCTTCTCTTTCTTTAACTTCTTGTCCCTCCACTCAAGATGAAAAAATGAGAGTTACTTTTGAGAAAAACTTATGTTCTCAATGTTAAAAACTTCTGCTCTCAATGTTTAGAAAACGAAAAGATCCAAATAATCTGTGATTTCTTTTCTTAACCACTCAAAAAAAGACAAAAAACCCGTGAAAATCTCTCGAAATTCAAGTTCTCACTGATTTCCCTCATTTCCCATTAAAAGATCAACTTTCCTGAAAAGCAATCATCAAATTGGAACACACAATTTCCATTCCAGGAACTGGCACCTTCGGTCGAGTACAATTGACGCGTCATCGAGACACGAAGAAACACTATGCTCTGAAAATTTTAAATATGCATAAGGTGAGATTTATTTTGAAAGATTTCGGCAAACTGGAAGTCACAACGATTTTTCCGTGTGCTAGAAAGCGCATGTTTATGCGCGAAAAGTACACTCGAATTTTAGATTGTGCAAACGCGACAAGTCGAACACGTGCACAACGAGAAGCACATTTTATCGATAATTGAGCATCCATTCATCGTGAAATTGTTAGTTTACGTTAATTCTAAGCTTAGAGAGCTTTGGCCAAAGCTTTGAGACTCTTTAAACCTTTGAGATCTCTGTACTCTAACCAGCATACCAATCAATTTCTAAAAACCGAGCTAATCATAAAAATTTCAACTTTAGAAATCCCCGTGCCTTCCAGATCGCTCAAAAATAAATTCCCTAAAGCCCCATGCAAATGATTTATCACTTTTTCACCTTTCCACATTCATTTCCTTCATAATTTGAAGAAAACTCGGGCAAAAATCTGGTCAATAGCTATTTTTCACACTTTTTTTTGGGAAAGCAGTTGTTGAGGGAGATTTCCGGGCAGTGGGGAGACCATTGAGGATCAGAAAGATAACGGACACATGACAAAACTGAACTGGGGCCTTGGGTTGAGATTTTCGATCGGTGAATTGGGGGAAAATTTTTGGCTCAACACATTGCATGAGTTCCAGATAAAGTTCCTTTAAATGGAAATTGCTGAAAAATGAAATTTTCTGGACTAGAATCCCTCAAAATCGTCCCATTGATCCTTGTGACGCACAAATTCTGAATGTAAATGGTTTTTAAAAAGTTTAACCAAATTTTTTGGCCGATCTGGAGCGCACACTTGAATTTGGGAATTTGGGAATCACGAAATTTCGAAATCTGACAAAACAGCTGACCTCGGTCTTGGTCAACTTTGTTGTAAAATTTGAAAACATCCCTAGCTAAGTAAACACGTTATTTTAAGAAGGACAACAATTCTCAACGAGAATGATTTGTTATTGAAAAGCCATTGTGCTTAAAACAACATTGATCACCTTTCTAGACACAACACCGAGAGAGATGAGCGCAATCTGTACATGATCATGGAGTTTGTGCCGGGTGGAGAATTGTTCAGGTATTGCGGAATTTCTCATTGATTATCCTGGAATGCACATCAGCTAAAGAGATTGTTAAAAATAGGGATTATTAAGTTTTTCGAGATTGGTAGATAGGGTGCGAGCCTGTCGAGTCCAAAAAACAACTATAGACATCGAGTTTTCAAAAATGAAAGAAATAAAATGTGAATCTGGATGTCACATGAGATTTTGAAGCTATAAAATCGTAGATATTCTTAATAAATTTTTATTTTCAGTTATCTTCGCGCCGCTCGTCGCTTCTCTCTACAAATGGCGACTTTCTACGCGGCTGAGATCACTTCAGCGCTCGCTTTTTTGCATTCACAGAATATCGTACGTGATTTCAAAGCTATTTTAGCTATCTAGAAAGCTACAGTAACCTACAGTAAATTGTCTTCAAATTTATTCCAATAAATTTGCATTTAAGACCTAGAGACAAAATTTAAAATGAAAATCTCAAAAATCTGAATATTTCAAATATCTCTGTGACTTCCAGATAGGCTAAAATAGCGAAAAAAATAAGTCCTTACAGTAAGGGATCACTAGAATTTCCTTTGTAAAGCTTTCAAACCGATTTTCAACCGATTTTCAGGTCTATCGTGACTTGAAACCCGAAAATTTGATGTTGACTCAAAGTGGACACATAAAAATGGCTGATTTTGGCTTCGCTAAAGAGCTGAGAGATCGGTAAGAGCTTTTTTGAATTGTTAGAAATTTTTAGAACCACTTGGTTCAGATATAAAATTGTTGGAATCGATGCGATTCTTGATATGCGGTAAATTGAGCAAAAAGAGTACGGTAGAAAAGGCTACATTTAGAATTTAGAAAAAAAGACCCTCTACCGTACCCAGATTCTCTTTTTTTTGAGTGCTGCTAATCCATAGCCAGCTTTTTCGCTTTCACTCTTTAGTTATATCATTAGTTAAAGATCTTTTTAACAGCTGGACGCAATTTGTTTCAGAACGTACACCCTCTGCGGAACACCGGAGTACTTGGCGCCGGAAAGTGTCGCGAAGAAAGGGCACAACAAAGCCGTCGACTGGTGGGCGCTAGGTGAGTCAAGAAGGGATTTTGATGAAAGATATCTTAATCCTGGATGTCACTGTGAATATTTGTCGTTGTAGTTTTTCCATGGGGCATCTTTGGGCAAAGTCGAAAAGATGCTCTAGACACTAGAAAAGTACCGTAACTAGGAAGGCTCGAATTTGGTTTTTGATTGAAGATACAGTAATCCTGGATGTCACTGTGAATCTCTGTCATTCTAGTTTTTCCATTGGCATCTTTTGGGCAAAGTCGAAAAGATGCTCTAGACACTAGAAAAGTACCGTAACTTGGAAGGCTCAAATTTGGTTTTTGATTGAAGATACAGTAATCCTGGATGTCACTATGAATACCTATCATTCTAGTTTTTAAATTAAACACCTTTTACAAATTACGGTGAGAAAGTTAGAAAACACAGAGATTTCGCGAATTTTCAGGGATTCTAATCTACGAGATGCTCGTCGGAAAGCCGCCATTTATTGGGAAAAGCGCTCAGCAAATCTATGCGGCGATTTTGGAGCACAATTTGAAATTTCCAAGAAGTTTTGACCTCGTAGCCAAGTGAGTTCTTGAAAAAATCCAAGAAAAATCTCAAATAACTCGCAAACTCTCTTTGAAAAGCCGGAATTTAAGAGATCTCGTGCGAAAGCTTTTGGAAGAGGACCGAACGAGGCGGCTGGGCTGTATGAAAGGCGGTGGAGCCGACGTGATGGGCCATCGATTCTTCGCGAATATAAATTGGGAGAAGTTGGATGCAATGCAAATGACGGTACGTCGTGCCTTCCAGATCGCCGGAAAATCATCATAGATGTATCGATTTTGATTTTAAAATCAAAATTTTCAGCCCCCAATCGTGCCGACTCTTTACCACGCCGGGGACACCGGGAATTTCGACAGCTACGACGAGAACACCGACCCTGGACCGATCGGCTCGAAAGAAGAGTTGAAATTGTTCGAGAATTGGTGATTCCTATGCTACAGTAACCCTACAGTAACCCCGAAACTCCACGGGGCTCCAAATTCCGTCTATTTTAATGATTTTCAAAAATTTTTTAAATTTCATTCGTTCTGGAAGGCACACTAGCCGTAGAATTGGTTTGGAAAGGGAAATTCCGAATTCCGGAAAATTTCCGTTTTACTCCTCTTTACATATGAAGACGTCGGTAAGAAAGCTTACTGTAAATGTAAATTTTTAAATTTCCATTAATTCCCATTAATTCCCATAAAGAAAACCCTTAAAAATCGGGTAAATGTTTCAAAAAAAAATTTCAATTTGCAATATTGAAAATACGATTGTGATTTGCATATAGAGAAATTAGCATACGAAATTCTCATTTTTTTTATTTTTACATTTACCGTACTTTTTAACGACTTTTTCCACCCTATGACATCCAATTTTCATCTTTGCAAAAGAAAGAAATTGGATTTGCGCTTAAATTTTTCATTTTCACCAATGATCTCAAACAAACACCCTAAATTCACTGTCTTTTTTCTTTTTTTAATCATTTTACTTATCCAAGAAGTATTTAGAAACCGAATTTCCCCTTTTTTTTTATTTTCCTTTTATTTTCCTTTTATTTTCCTTTTATTTTTCTTTTTATTGTGTGAAACATTGATTTTGAGGATTTTTGATGAATAAAAGTTTAAATCAAAAAAATTTGCATTGAAAAAATTTGCATTAAAAAATTGCATTTATAAAAATTTGCATTGATAAAAATTTGAATTTATAAAAATTTGCCGTTTAAAAATTTGCATTTATAAAAATTGAATTTATAAAAATTTGCCGTTTAAAAATTTGCATTTATAAAAATTTGCATTTATAAAAATTTGGACTGATAAAAATTTGCATTGAAAAATCAAACATTTTAAAATAAAAATAACAAAAACTGGAGATCACATTTTCTTCTGTGCCTTCCAGATAAGAGAAAAAGATAGAAAACGAAAAAACTTGCTTCAGAATAAATTGATCTAAGACGTTGAACAGTGATCAGCGAAGTAACTCGACCTCTCACAAGAATTCGAACTTTTTTTAAAGGCCCCTTGCCCAAATTGGATAGCAGCACAGCTTTTCTTGGCATTAACTGTTTGTTTTAAGAAATTTGATTCTACTGAGTACGGTAGTTTATCCAAAGTTTAATCGTCGATGCATTTTCACCGAAAAAGACATGAAAATTTCAAATGACGTCTATTTTCTTTTTTTCTTCTCAAAAATCTTCAATGCATTCCAGAAAAGAGAAAGCCATAAAGAAAAATGAAAAAATGATTTTCTCTGAGGTTTTCAGGGGCCAAAGTCTTTTCGGTATCCAGGTGATCACTTAGAATCGCAAATTCGAGGTTCAGTGCAAGATTTCAGTTCCAGAAATCTTCGTGATTTCCAGATTTTTGATTTCTTCAAGTTTTTGTGTTTGATTTCAAAAGCTTTTTAAGATTTGAATCCCTAGAACTTCGCATACAGTAACCGATTTCTAAATTTTTACATTTACCATACTTTTGACGATTTCCTTGTGTTCTGTGATATCCAGAACTTCAATTTCATATCTCAAAGATTTTGAAAAGCAAGCTTTTAAAAGGGATTTTTGATTGATAAGCTTTTGATCCATCGATAAGCATTTGATCGATTAATATTCCAGCTCTTTGACTGAAAATGGGCGAGGCGAACGTGTTCAACACGTTTTCCTTCAACAAATGGGCTGAGCAGAAGAAAGAAGAGGAAATTGATAAGGAAACAAAGAGGAGAAGACATGAACAGGTTGGTGGAAGGGAAGGCTGGAGGAGCTAGGGTTTGATTTCGGATTAGTCAAGTCTGGCTGTCAAGTCTGGTTGTCAAGGGCTGACTGTCAAAGACTGCTGGCAAAGGCTGGCTGTCAAGTCTGGCTGTCAAGTCTGGCTGTCCAGGGTTGGCTGTCCAGGGTTGGCTGTCAAGGGCTGGCTGTCAAGGACTGGCTGTCAGGACTGGCTGTCAGGACTGGCTGTCCAGGGCTGGCTGTCAGGGCTGGCTGTCAAGGCCGGCTGTCAGGGCTGGCTGTTAAGGCTGGCTGTCAGGGCTGGCTGTTAAGGCTGACTGTCAAGGACTGGCTGTCAAAGCTGGCTGTCAGATCTAGGCTTTGTTAGCTCTTGTTTAAATCCGAATCAATCTCTTTCAGATCAAACGCTTGAAAGAGAAACTCCGAAAAGAGAGAGCTTTACGAGAAGCTGGAATGGGTGACGGAGATCTCGATTTAGAGGCGCTCATTTTAGCAATCCAGAACGCGAATTATCAAGACGTAGACGAAACTGAGACAACGGAAATGAAAAGTAATTCAAAAGCTTTTAAATAAAACAAAATTAAACCAAAAATAATACAGTAATTTGGTCTCAAAAGATAAGACATTTTAAAGGATTTTAAAGGAATTTTAAAGGAATTTAAAAGGAATTTAAAGGATTTTAAAGGATTTTAAAGGATTTTAAAGGAATTTAAAGGAATTTAAAGGATTTTAAAGGATTTTAAAATCTAAAATCATTTTCAAATCGATTCATCCATTCCAGGTGACTCAACGACAAATGAAAACGATCCACGAGCTGCTTATAGAGGTGATCCAACAAGTGACGCTTATATTTTACAAGAGGTAAGCGATTTAGAAGAGATTACAAAAGATTAAAAGAGATTATAAGAGATTAAAAGAGATTTTCGAATCTAGAGATAAAACTAAAGCTTTTAAACTATCCAAAAATTGAGAACACTTTAGATTTCTCTTATCTGGAAGTCAACTTAAATTTTGGCAGACTTTAGCAGAAGGCAGAAGGTTTAAACTTTTAGTTTTTGCTTTTAGGTAATGAAATACGCAAACGATCATCCGGATGGAGGCGATTTTCGAAAAGGACGCCCACAAACTGCACAGAAACCACCTGGTTTACAAGAAAAGAGTTCAAATTGTAAAATAACCTCTCTAGATTTTGAACGCTTCAACTATAATCGGCGATATGCCGATTTGGAGAGTCAGGTGGGAATCGAGAATCGAGTTGCGATTGAAATCTCGAATTTCTTGAAGACAATTAGAGCTGAAATTGATTCTATATCCTTTTTGGAGGTCACACTGGATAACCAATCACTAGAACTTCTTAAATCTTTATTCTGGATGTCACACTAAAATATTGTTCTCTAAAATCCTTGAAATTTAGAGAGCAAAGACACCGGAAAGGACGCGCACCCCTCCACCGCCGAGGAGTTATCAAGAGGTCACTCACAGCTTGTAGAACTAGAAAAGCTATAGCTTAGATAACATTAGATATATCGAAGTAACTAATTTGACAATTTTAGAGACCCCGTAGCCAAGTGCGTCCGGCGAGCCGTCGTCCCTCGTCCAGCCTCGGCAATCAAATGTTCCAATACAATCGAAAAGTCAGCGAAGTCACCCCATCGAATGAATATACGAATAACGGATATCGAAATGAGAAATATTATTGAAAAATAAAGAAAAACTGCGAAGTAGATGTACGATTTTCACAAAAAACACCCATTTTTTAGGTTTTAGGAAGATTTTGAAGCAATTTAGACCCCTTTCTTCACTCCGACCCGATTTCTGAGTAAAGATCCTGAAATTATGGATGTCACAGGAGGAATTGGCTACATCAAAACTACGATAGCTGTTTTGCGATCTTCCGCTGGTTTCAATCAGCGGAAGATTTTGAAGCAATTTCGACCGCTTTCTTCATTCCGGCCCGATTTCTGAGTAAAAATCCTGAAATTATGGATGTCACAGGGGAAATTGGCTTCATCAAAACTACGATAGCTGTTTTGCATCAACGATTAAGGTTTTTGAAATCAGCGGAAGATTTTGAAGCAATTTAGACCTCTTTCTTCATTCCGACCCGATTTCTGAGTAAATATCCTGAAATTATGGATGTCACAGGGGAAATTGGCTTCATCAAAACTACAGTAGTTGTCTTCGGACCTTGAAGCCTACGGTAGTTGGGGCAAATTTTAGTGTTTCTAAGAGACAGAGCAATCTGTTCTTTGTGCTCGCCGGTAAACGCGCACTTTTTAGCACACAGGATTGAGTTCATTGTGTCAGAGCATTATCGGGGAGCACAAAGTACAAATTCGGGGTACTAAAATGTGTTCCAACTACCGTATGCTTCCAGATTCTAAAACACATCCCGGCTACCGTAGTTTTTATTTGAAAAGCTCCTGTGACATCCATAGTTTCGAAAAATTCACTCAGAAATAGATTCAAATGCTTAAAAGTGCTCTAAACAGCTTTCAAGTCTAACGACCCAATCACCATCGGCTTCCGTAGTTTTTAAGTAAGTCAACTTTTTCTGTGACATCCATAACTGACTTTTAATTTCTTAGAAATGCATCTAAGAATTATAATAAGCAAGTTTTTCCCTCAAAATCTTTAAGCAATTTATTTTTTTCATTTAAAATTCAACAATTTAATGTCAATAACCACCGGGATATGAAAATGGGAAAAATAAAGTTATTAAGGTGAAGGTGTGGTGTCTAGAGATCAAGATTTCTAAAGAAAAAATTTGAAAAACGAAAACGAATCAATTTTTTTGACTGTAAAAAGTATAAAATGGATAAAGTGCACACATCGATTTGTTGAACACAGATATAGAAATGGATTTGTTGAGGCAAAAGAAAGTGTGACATCCAGCTTAGCCAATCCACTTATTCAAAAGCATTGTTTCCTAGAAAACGACGTAATCCTATCACCAGCTATGATTCGATCAAATTGATCAATTTTAAATTAATCAAAATCGATTATTTTTAATTTCATTGAGCCTTGTGCACTCCAGATTGGCTATTCTGATGAAAAAAATGGCTTAATTACGATGGGTTTTTGAAAAACGAAGTGGAATGGGGGAAATTGGTGAAAACGAGAGGCTATTCTTTTAAAAAATAGAAAATGAGTACAGTAGGTTGGTGATTTTCAAATAAAATAGCTTTGATTCAAGCTGTTAAAGGCCATTTTGTGAATTGCGATCAAAGAAATGCCAGACACTATCATCGTATAGTAGATCTAAAGTAGCACCAGTACCCCTTGGAGTAAGATGAGGAAGAGGAAGAGGAAGATGGGAAGTGTCGTCGAAGGAAAACGGACCAGGAGTCAATTGGATTTGCTCGGAATCCAGCAATGTCTGAAATTTGATAGAGGTAGAGGGCTTTCTAGAGCTTTCTAGAGCTTTCTAGAGCTTTTGAGAGCTTTCTAGAGCTTTCTAGAGCTATCTAGAGCTTTCTAGAGCTTTCTAGAGCTTCCTAGAGCTTCCGAGAGCTTTCTAGAGCTTTCTAGAGCTTCGCTAGAGCTTTCTAGAGCTTTCTAGAGCTTCCTAGGGCTTTCTAGAGCTTTCTAGAGCTTTCTAGAGCTTCCTAGAGCTTTCTAGAGCTTCCGAGAGCTATCTAGAGCTATCTAGAGCTATCTAGAGCTTTCTAGAGGTTTCTATAGCTTTCTAGAGCTTTCTAGAGCCATTAGCATCCTTCTGGAAACCCTTTTCTAACCTTTAACGGTGAAATGAGAAAGCTTGAAGTGCCTGGAGAGAACAATTTTGATGGAGTGACTAGCGGCAATGCTAGTGATGAGTCGGGCAAGATACCTGGCGTTGGCATCACCACCTGGAATTGATTTTTAAAGAAAATAACGATCTGGAATGCACAGCGGCTAATGGATTCAAGAAAAAAAAGGGTTTATCAGAAAAATTTGACACTCACCTCATCGTTATGCGATCTTGATGAGCATGGCTCTTGATGATCGTAATTGAACTGCTCGATTGTGCCAACCTGAAAATTGGAGGTCACATTTGAAAACCGAATCGAAATCTGAGAGTATTTACCGATGGAATCGCTGCTGAGAGAGTTAGTGTTGTATCGGACAACAACGGGAAGTTCTTCGAGCTTTCCTCGTGCTCTAATTTCACGGGGATGCTCGGAAGTTGCGGGACAGCGAAATCTGGAACACACTAGGTAGAAAGAAATCGAGAAAAGATATTAAAGCTGTTTAAAATAGAGCTTTATTCGACTGATTTGAGTTCAGTCGATTTAATTGCTCAATTTGTTCAGAAATTGTTTGAAATTCGATTTAAGCTAAAAGCTGGAGTGCACAGAAGCCAAAGAACTCAAAAAAGTGTCAATTTCTCAAAAAATTTCAAAACTTTAATTTGCGTAATTGAACCGACTTGTTGAACTGAATTGGGTAATTAAACTGATTAAAACTTAAAGTTTAAAGCTTTTAAATCGTTAGCTTTTCTTTAAAAACGAACCAGTTGGAGGCTGATACTCAATAGGATTCGGCAAGAGTGTGACTTTCACTTGATATCCTTCACGATTCCGAATCAAGCATGAATGCCGGTTTGTTTCATCGAAATTCGATTTCTAAATGGTTGATGATTAATTCTGGATGTCACAGATTTAGAAAAATTTAAAATCTCATCAATATTACCATTTAAAAAATTTTAGCCTACAGTACCAGACTATACTCTTTACGTCCCTTTACGTCTTTATTCCAGAACAGTACTGTTTACTATAACTGTAGTGCTATAGCTGTAGTGCGTTCCAGATCTCTTTTTAAATAACTAACCGTCACATCATAGTGCGTGGCAAAGGGTAATTTCACGACGATCAGCGTTTTGTCATCGGCTCCAGTGGCTCGCCGTAAATCCTCGTTTCGAACGTAGCTGAAAAATCATTGTGCGTTCCAAAATTGACAATAAAGTGATCTAGTCTTAGATTAGTTTGAAGTAATGCTGTAATTTTCGTCCAGCTATCCATCGAACTCACCAATACGTTCGATCCACGGGACTTTCCTTCGCGATTTTCACAGCTCCTTCCAAACTAGCGATAATTTGATCCAAATCGTTTCCCTTTACCTTCAGCGCGTCACGCTTTTCTCGTTGAACCACTCTCTAAACAGTCAATTATGCAATTTTTGGCTACGAAAGGAGTCCAAACCGTTTCCTAGCCCTACATGCTTCAATTCAGTAATTTGATCTAAATATCTATCTATCTGGATATCACTGCATATCGTAACATTAAATGCAAATTGATTCGCAAACAAATGCTATTTGACTTTTAAAGATATTCAGTTAATCAGCTGACTGAAGCTGACTGAATCGCAAATTGCGTGAAATCGAAAATGGTTTTGCTAAAAAGATTGTGTGACATCCAGCTTGGCTGAATATCTTTTTAGTTATAGCTAACTTATGCAGCCATGATGCAATTTTTCGCAACGAAAGGAGTCCAAACCATTTCCTAGCCCTACATGCTTCAATTCAGTAATTTGATCTAAATATCTATCTATCTGGATGTCACTGCATATCGTGACATTAAATGCAAATTGATTCGCTAATAAATTCTATTTGACTTTTAAAGATATTCAGTTAATCAGCTGACTGAAGCTGACTGAATCGCAAATTGCGTGAAATCGAAAATAATTTTGCTGAAAAGATTGTGTGACATCCAGCTTGGCTGAATATCTTTTTAGTTATAGCTAAATTTAAATCTAAGCCCAACAAACCTGTTGCAAGCTTTTCATCTGATTCCCGTTCATCATCTGACGTGCGCGAGCCGGATTCCTAAAAAAGAACGATTTTCATTTCTCTTTCTTTTCACTGACTTCAATGAGATGGAGTTCTTTCCGGCTTTATTAATCATGTCAATGCCATCCAAAACATTCGTGATATCGTACAACCGTCGCTTTGGCACTTTCAACATATCAGCTGCTTCGTTCAAGTTCACTAACTAAAACTCTGTCTTTTACAAGGTCTAGAACCTTTTTTGAAATCAAAAACCTCAATTCTGGATGTCACAGAATATTTTGTTTACAAAAAATCTCACTAATTCCGATTTTTGAAATCATGGATATAGACGTTAGAGTTCTAATCAAAATCTAGCTTTTTCCATTGCTAAGACATTATTTTAACACTTGTAAAGTCAATTCTGGATGTCACCGAAGATCTTCCTCAATTTCTAAAATCACCTGATTCGTCAAAAGTAGATCGAGAAATTTCTGGGTCAACACCAGCAACGAGTTGTCTGCTCGACAGCCCCTCGGCAAAGGGCTTCCTGAAACTCGGAAAGCTAAAAAACCCCTCGATCTGCCACCCACCCTGCTCGCTAGCTAACGCCAAAAACTCCTGTCTCGATGATAATTTCGGTTGAGTACCTGAAAAAAAGATCTTAACAATTTAGAGAAATTTTCTAAGGAAAGAGCAAGTTTTTATAGTTTTTTTGAGCATTATGGATGTCACAGAGAAGGTCTAGCTTGAATTTTATGAAAGTTTATAGGTTTAAAATTTTTACCATTACTCGTCGCAACCATCAGATTCTCTCTGGCTTTCAGCAGTTTTGTGGGATTTGTTTGCGAGAAATTTGCATTCAAAAGCTTTACAGGCGTCCTTTGCGGGACAAAAATCGGTTTTCGAAGTCTTGGAGTCCGCGAAAGTGGGACATGATTTGAATAGATTGATTTGAGGACAGAGCCCACCGAGGTGCCCGGCGAGATCTCGGATTTTCGGAAATTCCCTGTTTTAACTGGATACACGACTTTCCTGTGTTCCAGAATGGGTGACGCCATCGAATAACTGTGTTCTGATAGCACTGGAGAGATTTGCGGCGCCAGTCCCGTTTCTTGCACTGGTGACAACAGGAAAATCGCATTTTTCGAATCCTCCAGCACATCCACCGGCAACTCCTCAGCCTCATTCAACAGTGGAATCAATTTGATCTCGTTTTTCCAAAAAGCCTCCAGGTCGTCCAGTGAGTGCAGTGAGATTTCAGCGGCGCTCGACGTTGGCGCCATTTTTCAAAATAAAAAAAATTTCAAATAATAGAAAATGACGCTTTGTGGTTTTTGTTGGACGCTGTGGATGCCAATTCGACGAATCAATCGCTTTCTGGATGCCGGTGGCAAGATTTTTCGCCGAAAATTGGGTCAAAGTCGTCTCTGGGTGCAGTGCCAAGAACATTATCCAGAGAATTGCCCCTGGCAAAGGGAAATTTTCACAACCAGATTTTTGTATGCAAATTTGGCTCTAACCGACAAAGAAACCAGATGTTTTTAAGGGATTTTTGGGTTTTTATGGAAATTTGCATTTAAGAAAATTTGGATTTGAGGAAAATTTGGGTTTAAGAAAATTTGCATTCAAGAAAATTTGCATTTAAAGTAAATTTGTTTTTAAGAAAATTTGCATTTAATGAAAATTTGCATTTAAGGAAAATTTGCATTTAAGAAAAATTTGCATTTAAGGAAAATTTGCATTTAAGAAAAATTTGCATATAATTTTTTCGATTTTCCCTATTTTCAATTTTTTCATTTTCCATTTTTTTAACTTTTTTTCTATCGTAATCTGCCTAGTGCCTTCCAGAATAAAACTTTTATTTAAGAGTTTTGAAAACTTTTGAATTTAGACCTGGTTTCAACCCACCTTCCAACGAGCCTCGAATCGCCGCACGTTTACGAGAGACTGAAATGAGAATTGTTAAATTCAAATCGAAATCGGTGACCGCCAGAACGAACGGAATACCTTTTTATGGCAAATGAAGCAAACCTGATGGAGATGGGGTGGACAAAGCTTCGGCCAGTCTTCGCCTCGCTTTCTCCGAGCTGTTGGCTGGTGAGCGAACCTCTTGTTTCATTGGGGTTTGTGTGCCGAAAGTGATTGCATCCTGGAAGAGAACAGTGCGCTTAGATTTGAGCTCAAATTTCATCCTCACTTGGTAGATGTAAGACTGCTCAAGAGAATTCTGCTCATCTCTAGACAACGACGAGTCACTTGATTCCACATACTGTAAATCAAAAATTTTCTAATTTAAACCAAAAAGAAATCTAAGTTGACATCCAGATTAGAAAATCCTTCAATATTACAAAAATCCATAACCCCTAACCATCCCTTTTCTCTCCGATCATTATCACGATGACCTAAAAGAGGAATGAAGGAGTGGAGAGAAGGAAAGGTCATTGCAAGAAGGCCATTTGGAACTCACACCGACTTCTTTGTTTGTCAAAAGGTTAAAAATCGAAAGTTAGTTTTGTAGGAAGATTATGGAAAGATAATTCAGCTATAACGTGGATAATATATTATAATAGTCTATTTTTGGCTTATCTGGATGTCACATAAGATTTCTGAAAAGTTTGATTTTTGATTTTCGACAAATTGTGAAGAGGCTAGCTCCTGTCAACTCCAGTACTGAACCCCGGTTTGCCCCAAAGTACTCCCCGTCTTTCCCAATCGTCTTTCCCCTTTCCTGTGACTTCCAGAACAGAGCCCGTTTAGGTCAAAATCGATGAGCCGTGAAATTTGATGGGTTTTTATGTTTGGATAAAGAAAGGCATCAATTTACCGGATTATTGACGGCCACTGGTGCTTGATAGATTTCTCGGATGACACCGGTTCTGAAAACGATTTAGGATTGATCTCAAATTGATTTAGAAACGAATAATCTGTAGATTTATTGATATTTTAATATATCACCTCTTCACATCGAGCTCGCCCTGCGCATACATGGCATTCAAGGGCTGAAAGTGAGAAGATTTTATGGAAATTGTTAAATCTGGATGTCACTAGAGCCTTTCCAGAAATAAAATCCGTACTTTGTCTTTAAACGAAAAACAGGTATCTAGCAAAGTCGGTTTACCTCAACAATTCAGTGCACTAGAAGCCAAACGTTTCCAAGAGAACGCACAAAAGTTAAAATTGGATGTCACTAGAACTATTCCCGAGATAAAATCCGTACTTTGTCTTTAAACGAAAACTTTTGCTATCTAGCACACCAACTTTTGCCGCCAGTGCTCCAAATCGTGCAAAAAAACGAGAAATTGTTTATTTGAACGCACCCCTAGCTCGTTCCTTGTCCGTAAGAGTCGTTGTTGTTGTGGTTGATAGCAATTACTAGATGAACTTCGCGAATTTTGAAAATTCATCACGCATCACGAGTTTGAGCGATAATTTCCCGAATTAAGGGTAAAGAAATGGATTTAAAAGCCAGGAATGAGCAAGCTGGCATGCACAGGGAATATTGAGAATGGCAGAATGCGCGAGGGCCCTTGGGTGATTGGGGTGAGTGGACTGTTCCCCTTCTCTGCCCTGTCCCCCTTCGTGCCACCGGATTTCTCTCGTTTTTCTTCGTTTCTCTTTCTCTAGTTTTTTTGGAGCTCTTTCTTTGTTCGCCACGATTTCCCGCCAAAATTGTTGACCAATCGAATGGTTGAATGACTCCGCCCAATTGATCGAGAGAGCACCTTTTAGGGGGGAAGATGGATCAGAGGGAAGATGGTTATATGAAAATTGATAAAACTGTTGTTACTAATGGAAAGGGTGATATCCAGGATGATCTTTATAAATACTAATTTTAGACATACATGCAAATTTGAGTCACTTTAGTTAGAGAACACTTTTAGGGGGGAAGACAGATCAGTGGTTGTATGAAAATTGATAAAACTGTTGTTAGTAATGGAAAGTGTGATATCCAGGATGACTCTTATAAATACTAATTTTAGACATATATGCAAATTTGACTCACTTTAGTGAGAGAACACTTTTAGGGGGGAAGATGGATCAGTGGTTATATGGAAATTGATAAAACTGATATCATTAATGAAAAGTGTGACATCCAGGATGATCTTTATAAATGCTAATTTTAAATATACATGCAAATTTGAGTCACTTTAGTGAGAGAACAGATATTTCTAGTAGAGTAAGTTCTAAGTAAGAGCAGTAAACCTATTTGTAGTGATGTGTGCTTTCAAAGTTGTCACTTTAATAGTGTGACACCCAGCATGAGACTTAAAAATGAGATTTTCTCTTTCTCGATGCAAATTTTGAGTAAAAAGCGGTGAACACGGTTTCGACAAACGAATATGAAAAAGTTGGGTAAATTCAACAAAATTTTAACGCCTAAAATGTTGTGTGACATCCAGATGAGAAACTTTGTTGAAAATTTGGCTGAGAAAATGAACACACACGGAGAAAAGAACCCGTTCTCTAACGAGCATCCATTTTCCACGATTACCGTAATCTTTCCCGTAGTTTTGATTAGAGGATTGTTAAAGCTGGAACACACGCTAGCCAAAGCCATAATCAATTCCTTGAATCTCGCGAAATTTTCAGATACTTTGGCATCAATTTGCATTTAAGCTGCCAAGCAATTTGCATTTAACTCTGTCTAAACTTTGCCTAAAATTTCCTGCATTAATACAGTGTTTACAGATTTTATTTCACACGAAAAACATTTGCAATCGGGGCACGGGCTTTGAGAAACCATAGAATTGAGGCGATGATGTATGAGAAGATGCCGAGATATCCCTCGAAAGACCCTTCCAGATCATTTGGCGGAGGTTCTGACTAAAATTGGGTATTTGATTGAAAGATACCGTAATCCTGGATGTCACACTAGATATTTATCGTCATAGTTTTCTAAAAAGTGCGTTTTGGGAAAGGTACAGTACCCTGACTGCTTTCTAAGGTAGCTACCGTACTCTGACGGGGATTCTGACTAAAATTAGGTATTTGAGCAAAAGATACCGTGATCCTGGATGTCACTGTAAATATCTGTCGTTGTAGTTTTCTAAAAAGCGCGTTTTGGGAAAGGTACAGTAATCTGGCTGCTTTCTAAGGTAGCTACCGTAATCTGACGGAGATTCTGACTAAAACTGGGTATTTGATTGAAAGATACCGTAATCCTGGATGTCACCCTAGATATTTATCATCTTAGTTTTCTAAAAGGAGCACTTTGAAAAAGCTACCGTACCCTGGCTGCTTTCTGAATGACGTTTTTTACAAGCGGCTCTCGCTGTGCCATGAAGTGTGCGTTTACTAGAGAGCACAAGGGATTCACCTTTTCTACCACCGACATCGAATTCGTATCTTCAACGTTTTCCAATCGAAATGGAATCAGCTCTTGATGACCCTCAAAAATGATACCAAATTGGGCATTTATCTGAAAGATTCTTTAGAACTTGTATTGAGTTTTTGCTTCAATTAAACCCCATTCAAGCAATCATTCATTCGACACAAACATTCGTCATAACCAGCAATTGGAAAAGAGCATTTGCGATGAGGTATCCAACTGAAAACAGATTTTTTAAATTTCCTAAACTACCGTAGTCTTCGTTAGGTTCTATCGATTTTAAAACTATCGTAATCCATAGTGTGCGTTCCAGATCGAACAATTCGACTCTTAAAAGCTATAGTAATCGTTTAAGAAAATGAGATTTGGACTCGAACGGATTCTAGGGATTACGGTAGGTTTACGGTGGGTTTTTTACGGTAGGCTACGGTAGATTACGGTAGATTACGGTAGATTACGGGCTTACAATAGTTTTAGAATGTTATAGAGCTTACATTTCATTTTCGCAATCGATTTCCAAGAGTTGTTTCCTCTCATTGTAATCGATTTCACACTAAATTCAGTTAAAATTCGAATTTCAATTAATTTTTCGAATTTTTTGACTTTTCTAGGGGTAATCGACGACGCTGAACACGAATTTGACAATTTTAGCATCGATTTTCAACAGAAAAATCGAGATTTCGATACTTTTTCGGCACTTTTTCGACACTTTTCTTTTTGCACTGAAACGATCGACTATTAAAGCACTTTTTAAGGTTAAAACTAGAGTTAAAACTAGTCAAAACCTTTTTTTAAACCATTAAATATTTATTTTCTAACTGAAATTCACTGGTAAAGGTGAAAAGAAATTGAAAAAAAGTTCTTTTAAAGATTTTGATCGATTTTAACTCATCGCTTACTTTAGAGCTCTAAAACTTGACTTAAAACGCATTTTCTCAGCTTCTCGTTGTGTTTTTCGAAATCTACGCCTAAAATTACCCTAGAAAAAGTGGTTTTAAAGAAAAAAAAGTGAAAAGAAAGTCCCCATTTCGAAGTTTAAAATAGAAGAAAAAAAAGTGATTTTTGAATTTCGTCAAATGTCGATTTGTTTGATGAAATTTCGGTTTTTTTGGTGAAAATCGATGCTAAAATTGTCAAATTCGTGTTCAGCGTCGTCGATTACCCATAGAAAAGTGAAGGGAAAGTAAGAAAAATCAAAAACAAATAGCTGGCCCGCCAACTCCCCATTCAAAGGACTCACAATTGTGTTCGCCGGTAAAAACTTGAATTGTTGTTTAATGAGAAATTGAAGTGATAGAGAAAAATGAATCAAAATGATCTAAATATTAAAATTTCTTATTTCTTTTAAAAAAAATTTACCACAAAAATGAAAATTCGGAACATTTTTTGTAAAAAAATCGAAAATTCTCTCTCTTATCACTCTTTTTTTGCGCCTTTTTACCCCAAAAATACCCCCAAATTTCCTCAAAATTGATTGAAATTAAGGATTTAACATAAACAAATGGAAAAAGAATCGTTTTTAACTTTTTATTTAGTTTTTTTCCAAAGTTGTTCCAAAACCGAAAATCGAAATGTTTCTTTTTCATCCAATTCAAAAACGAATCATCACAATATCTGATGTGACATCCAATTAAGGCTTCAACAAAATTTCAGAAAGTTTCATCAATTAGAACAAAAGTTATTGAAGGGCAACCGAAAAAAAGCAATTTGCATTTAATAATTGCTAATTTTTCGCCAATTTTCGCCATTTCACCAATTTTTAAATGCAAATTTCTGTAAAAAGCCTGATTTTTGAGATATTCAGTTAAGAAAAAACTTTAAATAATGGCAATTTTTTAAATTTCGAAATTTTGCAATATTTTCAACTTTTCAACTTTTTTATCTTTTTAACGATTCTTTTTAATAATTTTTATTTATTTACCTAATGTTAAACTTTTAAACAATGGATAACCTACCGTATCCTCAAACCCCATTCGTTTCTTTGATCACCCCGTTTTCTCTACCGAAGAGAACAAATTCTAACCAAAATCTAACCTTTTTCTTAAGCGTTTTGTTCTTTTTAACCCTCTATATATGAGAAATTTTTTAAATTCTATCTATTTTCAGGGCGATGACATCAATTGCTCAACTTGGGAGTCGTTTTTTGCAGAAAAACGGTTAGTTTTAAATGGTAAACGATCGTTTTTAGCCTTTTACTCGTTAGAAAGCTAATGTTTTTAAGGATAAAACGATCGTTTTATGATTTAAGTTATTTTAGAATGTTTTTTAAGCAGAATAACGTTTTCTAGCTTAGGCTTAGACTCGTGTTGTAGCATTTGTTCTATTGAAACGATTTCAATGCGCTAATTTCCTTTCTTTAGGGTCAAATCTGTTGGCTCGTTCTGTGGCCACTGCTGCTCCACCTGCTCCCGAAAAGAAACCCGAGAAGACGTCGTTCGGAAATCTAAAAGACTCGGATCGAATCTTCACGAATCTTTATGGACGACACGATTATCGATTGAAAGGAGCGATGGCTCGGGTAGGTTTTTGGGAAAGCCGGTTGATAAAGTTAAGGTTTAACGTGTTGGTTGGCTTGTAATTGTTTGAATAGTTTTTTTAAAATGATAACAACAACGTAAGAACCATTTAGCTTAAATAACTTGTTATAAATTTAAGCAAAAATAAAGTTTTTAACAGATTTGTTAACTTGTAGCTATCTTTGAAACTAAAGATTGCTTTAGTAAGCTTAAAAGTTAGAAAACCTAGCTCTAGATTTCTTCTTGGTGGCTTAAAATCTCTCGTTTTCCTCAAGATATTTAAGTATTAAGTGTTACGTAAAGATCATGAGAAAGTGTGTGTTTAGAAGGGCACAAAGTAACGCACTGGTACTTTGGTCGTTGGGAGGGGCCACTTTTACCCTGGCTTAGTTGTATCTAATGTTTTGAGTGGTTGTATTGATACCTTTCATCTATTCTAGGATAATCAAAAATGCTTAATAGATTGGTGAGAAAGTTTTTGACAATTCTAGCCTAATTCTCATGCACTTTAACCGACAAACGCTACCCCAAAGCTGCTTACACTTGGAAATCAAATAAAAGCAGCAAAACAAAACTTGAAATATGTTTTAAATGCTCTAAGGATATTCTAGAGTGTTTTTTTAAGAAGAATAACGTGTTGTAGCTGAGGCTTAGACTCGTGTTTTAGCTGAGGCTTAGGCTCGTGTTTTAGCTGAGGCTTAGGCTCGTGTTGTAGCATTTGTTCCATTGAATGCATTTCAATGCGCTAATTTCCTTTCTTTAGGGTTAAATCTGTTGGCTCGTTCTGTGGCCACTGCCGCTTTTTTGATTACTCAAGAATAGGTAGATAAAGGGTATCAATACAACCACGCAAAACATTAGATCCAATCAATAAAAGTGGCCCCTCCCAACGACCAAAGTACCTACGCACTTTTTCTATAGCCGTCATCAAATTCATATCTTCAACGTTTTCTAAAGGAAACGGGTTGGTCTTGATGGCCGTCGGAAATGATCATAAAGATTGTAAACATTAGAAAACTTCTAACAATAAGATGTTTATTCCTTTTAGGGTGATTGGTATAAGACGAAAGAAATCATGCTGAAGGGACCGGAATGGATTCTAAAAGAACTTTCAACGTCTGGTCTTCGCGGTCGTGGTGGTGCTGGTTTCCCATCTGGAATGAAATGGGGATTCATGAATAAACCTTTTGATGGAAGGTTGGCTTGTTTTTAAGAATGAAGAAATCCTTTCCTTTAGACCCAAGTACTTGGTGGTGAATGCAGACGAGGGAGAGCCGGGAACGTGCAAAGATCGAGAGATTATGCGACACGATCCGCACAAACTCATTGAAGGGTTTGTTTATTTGGCAATCGGAGAAGCTTTAGTGCAATTGTTAGCTATTAGAAACGATTAGAATTCTATCAACATCTTGTCCTTTAGATGTTTGATCGGTGGATTGGCGATGGGTGCTCGCGCGGCCTACATCTACATTCGTGGAGAGTTCTACAACGAGGCGGTCATCCTGCAAGAGGCTATCAATGAGGCATACAAGGTATAACAATGACTTTTGAACTGTCAGCGCTGGCTGCAAGTCTAGAAAGCTTGTCGAGACGCTAGATCAAAACCAAAACCAGCTTCCCAACACAAAATTTGAAGCTCATGACAAATCTTTGATCTTAAATCGATTATTGGCAAGATTTAGACCTAGAACTTTCTATAATTCTATCATTCTATCAATTCTATCATATCAAATCCTATCAATTGCCAGAATTTAACCTCTTTTACCCTTTTGCCACAATTTCAATGCTTATTTTAGGCTGGATTCCTCGGGAAAGATTGCCTCGGCACTGGCTATCATTTTGATGTTTTCGTGCATCGAGGAGCCGGCGCCTACATTTGTGGAGAAGAGACAGTAAATTTAGAAAAGAAACGTAGAATTTTGACTTTTTTAGGCTCTCATCGAATCACTTGAAGGCAAACAAGGAAAGCCACGTCTGAAGCCGCCATTCCCCGCAGACATTGGTCTCTTTGGATGCCCAACAACGGTAAGGCGTTTGGTTGATTGTAGATTATTCAATTGCACATTTGAGATTTGTTCTTGTTTTTGCTTGTAAATTAATCAACTTCAAGAATTTCAAGAACTGCAACAATTTAGGTGACAAACGTCGAAACGGTGGCCGTGGCGCCGACGATTTGCCGTCGTGGTGGCTCCTGGTTTGCGGGATTCGGCCGAGAGCGCAATCGTGGAACAAAACTTTTCTGCATCTCTGGACAAGTCAACAACCCGTGCACAGTCGAGGAGGAGATGAGTGTTCCGCTTAAAGGTAAAGGATTTAGCGCTTACAAGTGGCTCTTTATCCATCGATTGCTTCATAATCGAGTTAGACGATTGTGAAGAGTTAGACGTCGTTAACTTTATGAAAACTGTGTTATGAAAATTTATGGAGATTTCTTGAGAAACCGAGTAACAATTGTCAACATAAATTGGGCTAAAAAGCACATGTAACATTTTCCGATTCAGATCTAATCGAACGACATTGCGGCGGAGTGATTGGTGGATGGGATAACCTGCTCGCGATCATCCCTGGTGGATCTTCTGTGCCACTCCTTCCCAAGTAAACAGTACTGAATCTCTAACTCAAGTTTCCGAGTCTTTAGACCAATTTGCGACACCGTTTTGATGGATTTTGATGCTCTGGTCGCTGTCCAATCGGGTCTTGGCACTGCCGCGGTGATTGTGATGAACAAACAGGTGCTACAGACAGCTTTTAGTCGATCGTCTACATCTGATTCAGGCTGACGTTGTCAAATGCATTGCTCGACTCTCGCTTTTCTATAAACATGAAAGCTGTGGACAATGCACACCGTGCAGAGAAGGGTGCTCTTGGTTGAATAAGGCGAGTTTTTAGGAAATTTACAATGGTTAGATGCTGAACTGGGGTATTTATGACCTCTAATAGGAGTTGGTTTGACTTGACCTGGAAAAATTGGGCCAGGAACAACCGTATTAAGGGCTAGGCTTGTCCGGAATTGTCATTAAAGTGGGAAATTGGACCTGAAACAACGCTGATCAGAACTGGGCTCGTTTGGAGCTGTTACTGAAGCATTTTTGCACACCAGGGCAAAGAGCGAACTCGATATCACATTATTGTTGAAACTTTTAGCTGTGGATAATTAAAGTTCTTTTAGATGATGTGGCGCTTCGTTGATGGACGTGCAAAACCATCGGAAATCGACATGATTTGGGAGTTGTCCAAACAAATCGAAGGACACACGATTTGCGCTCTCGGAGACGCGGCGGCTTGGCCTGTTCAGGTATAAATTTTAAGCGGCTGAACTTGTAACTTGCAGTAGTATTCTTTCAGAATCAATGCCTTTACTAAAGTATGAAGGTTATTGCAATGATTATTAAGAAATCCCGCAATTCTTTCATTTCCAGGGCCTCATTCGTCACTTCCGTCCCGAGCTAGAGCGTCGAATGGCGCAATATCACGAGACGTTCATGGCCGAGAAAGGATTCAAACCCGAAGAGAGCAAGATTCTTAACGGAAAACATTAGACATTTCATTGCCTCAACATTTTATACTCGAATTACATTAAAGTTGATGAGAAATTCGACAAATTAGCGCTATTTCCTCGGATTTCTTATAGCCATTTTGTTCTAGTGTGAAAAGTTACTTGTTTTAAATTTCGTCATACGCTTTTTTGAGTCAGCTCATGTGTTATTTTTTCTTTTATTAATTTTGCATGGGTATCTATAAGTTTTCATAGGCGTAGATATTAAAAAAGACAAGTTTTTTAGATATTGGCTCTGATAAATTTCTTTTCTTTGTTAAGAAATCATATATTTTAGTTGTCTATTGTATGAGGAAGAGGTTTGTAAATAAATTTTGAGATTAAAATTTGCTGACTTGAAGTTTGTACATCTTTTAGGCAGCTCTTTGAGCGTCTGTGAAAACTTGGAAACCGTAAAATAGTTATTAGCTCGGCTCGGCGTCGTTCAGTACTATTAGGGAAAATTTACTAATCAAATCAATTGAAATGAGCGAATTCGGGAAAAATCGGCCATGATTAGGGCTATTTGAATGAGTATTGACTTTGAACTTTGAAGCTCCATAACTTTGTCCAGAGATTAGATTCTTGTCAACTTTTTATATAGATGGATAGAGGACACTTCGGGCTTTCAAATGATACCAAATAGAGCTTGATTGGATTAGCCAATCTTGAGAAAATCAAGAGACAAGTCGCTCGCTTTTGGTCGAGTTGGCATTTTCATAAGGGTCAGGTAGCTAAAAAAATGACTTGGTTACAGTAATCTTTAGTGTCAAAGTTGCTATAACTTTTGATTTGATGGATTTATTGAACGTTTAGTGACATTTTTCTCAACCAACAACTGTCTTTTCGAAGAAATTCCGTTGTACTCCTATTGACGAAATTTCTATGCCTCCAGATCACCGAATCGAGTTTTCTATAAAAAAAACGTTAACTGAAGATCGTGAAGCTTTGCTTTAATGTATTGCTGAAATGTTTCGCTCAAGCAGAAACATTTTTCGTTTTGCGCAAAACGTTAAAAATGCGACTCGGAGGAATTTGGTGATTGGCTCGACCATTTTTGGCGCAACAACCATCTTAATGCTCAGGAAAAGCGATTTGCCGTTTTTTAATGAGGCGAAAATGTTATTGATGGAAGATGATAATGCGAAACATCAGGTGGGAAAAGAATTTGCTTTTTTCGAAAAGTTAAATAGCTCAAAAGCTACACTGACATCCAGCTTTGAGATTTGAGAAAGTTTGAAGCGAGGAAAAGTTTTCCGAAAGCAGACAGGGACAAGCTAAATCTTTGACGTGACATCCAGCTTGGGTTTTAGTGAGATTTCGAATAGCCTAAGCACTTCAAAGTCTAAGTTGACATCCAGCTTGAGATTTGAGAAAGTTTGAGCCGCGTAAAAATGCTCTATTTTGTTTTTGATTAGCCGAATTTCGAAAATGATATCCAATTTGAAAATTTGAAGTTTTTCAGGTGCACACAGATCACAAATTGACGAAAAGAGAGTTGCGCTTTCTGCAATTCGCATCAATCGAGTACGATGACGTGATTTATATGAGTCCAATGGATTTTATTGACTCGTTGACATTGGATCATCCAAGAGGTGGGCACAGGCTTTCGATATTTCGATATTTCGATATTTCCCCAATTTCGTTGCGTTGAATCTCTAAGTTGGATTCCAGTTTGAAAATTTCCCAAATTATCGACTCTTTCTGATTTCGTAATCGATCAGAAAACGTTTGTGAAGTTATTTTGGTTTTATTTCGTTTTCTAGAAAGAGTTTATCGTCGAGTGTTGAAGGGAAATGATTTACAAGGAATGCTAAAGAAAACACCGCCATTTCGAAAAGGAAACAAGGATTTATTCCGGAAATTGGATCAAGGAGGGATCATTTCATACGCTGAATATATATTCTTGCTTACATTATTGACAAGTAAGTGAAACTTTTGGCTTTGTCTTCGTTATCTCCCCTTGGACTCCCCTTGGCCCTCTCTCCCTTATCTTTCATATTTCTTCTTGCTAAACGAAAGCCTCAATAGCTCAGTGGTTAGAGCAGCTGGTTGGTAAGCGATTCCCTGGTAGGGTCAAGGGTTCGACTCCCTTCCCCCCTTATCTTTCATTTTTCTTCTTGCCAAACGAAAGCACCAATAGCTCAGTGGGTAGAGCGTCTGGTTGGTAAGCGATTCTCTGATAGGGTCAAGGGTTCAACTCCCTTCCGAACTTTTGATGGTTGTTTTTTTTGACTGTTGAATGGCTAACTAACTAGACTAGCTGCCTAAAGCCACTAGAAAAAGCCCAAATCTCCAGATCTTCCAGATCTTAACTTACAACTTCTAGAATCACGTTCTTCTTTCAAAATCGCTTTTATGATGTTTGATGAGGATGACAGTGGATTTGTAGATCGAGACGAGTTTTTATTGGTTTGCCAAGCATTTATTAGCATTTCCCTTGAGAAATCGATCTTTTGAAAGGGTGCACTGTAGAAAAAGCTATTTAAAATAACCATTAGACGCATAAAAATGCATCAAATAGCTTATTTGTTAGATAAAAAAATCGTGTTTGTCACTGGGGAAATGGTCAAAAATTTTTCTACTTTACTTTGTACTCAAGTTAAACGCTTGCTCTCTAGTGCACAGTGCTTTCTAGTGCTTTCTAGTGCTTTCCAGTGTGCCAGATGGTGAGCGTTTATCTGTTTACAAAATTGCTTTCTATGTTTTAAATCGATTTTTGTCGATTTCCCCTAAATAGAGTCTTCCGAGTGTAGTGCCTTTTTTTTGCAGATTAGAAGTTTAACCTCATCGCTTCGATCAACGAGATCACATTCGCTGTCAAGAGATGATGTAAGTGATTGATTTGTGAATGGAATCGCATTGGAAAGAGTTTAGAGAAAAGATCGACTTGTTAAATAGTGACCTAACTACCGTACCCCTTCAGCTAAAATGTTTAGCTCGGCTCAAATTCGCTACCTCATTCGCTATCGTGACATCCAGTTTGAGTTTTGCGAAAGTTTTGAACACGATTGTCTTCTTAGAAAAAAAGATATTTGAGGGGTTGGGTTAAAGTGGAGTTTTTACTTAAAAATCTGGTAACTTACTTACTCTAATGCACTCCAGAAGACCTCTAGAAGACCTCTAGAAGACAAGAAGACTTCAGAAAGCTCGAGAAAAAGACTAGTTCAATTATCTGACTCTTTCTGGACTCACTAGAAGAAAATCGAAGTTTTTGAGAAAAGCTAACAATTGGGTAATTGATTGAAGCTTCTAAGGAAGACAAAAGGGCGACTAATCGCTTTAGTGTATGCCAGAAGGGATGTGTTTCGATTTAGAGAGCATAAAGTACACAAGGAGATCTAGAATTTCGCCCAATCTCTTTCCAATCTGATTCGAATTCAATTCCAATCTCATTTTCTTCTCTCAGCTCTAACCCACACAAAATAATCACCTCTTCGTCTTTATTTTCTTTTCAGTCATGTCAATTGGATCCATCAGATTTCAATTTTGTCGTGAATCGTTTAAGTACAAAACTTTTCGCTGGAACCGACGCTTATACTATCGTCTTTCAAGTGAGCTTTTTGTGGAGATGAAAAATGACTCTTTCTGGTGGGATTCGTACAATTGTTGGTGGGATTCTTTGAGACAATGTCCCGGAGACGATAGCCTTGATGCACAGAAGGCTAGATACAGTACTCTTTATGCCCTCCATACAGTACTCTTTACGCCACTGATACAGTAAACAGTACCATTGACTAGCCAGTGCAGTACTCGCTGCTACCCTCGATACTTTTTACAGCCTTTTGCAACACCTATAGCAGCGCTATACGGTGCATATTCAGTGTCCTAGACACAGTATTCTATAGCTTTACATCTGCTCCAGCATTACGGTAGCTTCTTTTCACTATGGGTTACGGTATCTGACTAGAGATCTGCTGTATCTAGTCTCTAGAGATTACTGTATCGATCCCGGCAATCTATGCCCGAATTTTCGTGAAGTAATTGGTATCTGATCGTGCACACACCATTCCCCCCACCATTCATTGTCATGTTTTCCTCGAATTTCAGTTCTTTTCAGTTTCCCCAGCATGTTATTTGCATGGCTTTTTAAAGAGTTTCCCGGAATTTCTATTCTAATTTCTGCTTTTGTAAAAGCTTTACGGTAGACTTGACTAATATGGTCGTAAATTTTGACGTAAACTTGCCATCTGGCGCACTAAAGACCATTTTTAGAAGAAGATTTAGTGCGCTAGATGATGAAAGTTTACGAAAAAGAGTTCAGTCCAGTGAAATTTGCGTTCTTTGAGTGTTCGCTTAAACTTTCCCCACCTGGCGCACTGAAATCTATTTGTGGATGTGCACTAGATGGTGAAAGTCTACGAAAAAAAGAGTTCAGTCCAGTGAAATTTGCGTTCTTTGACTGTTCACGTAAACTTTCCCCATCTGGCGCACTGAAATCCATTTGTGGAAGTGGACTAGATGGTGAAAGTTTACGAAAAAAAGAGTTCAGTCCAGTGAAATTTGCGTTCTTTGAGTGTTCTTTTTCGTAAACTTTCGCCATCTAGCGCATGGAAACTCACTTCTTTGGAGAGATCCCGTGTGCCAGATGACGAAAGTTTACGAAAACATTCAGAGTACGCACATCTAGTGCACTAATTCAAATGAATTTCAAGTGCACTAGATGCTGAAAGTTTGCAAAAACGATTATTAGCCAAGTCAACTTTGTTTTGTTCGAAAAAAAGTCCAAATTTCTTCATTTCCAGTGCACCAAATGCTGCGCGTTTCCCTGAAAATCTCTCTTTTTTCCAAAAGCTAAAATGCACCCTTTCAAATGAATGAATTTCTCTATAACCTCCGTGTGCTCCAGATCGAAAGATTCTCTTTTAAAAAGTGACAATTATTCGGGGAAACTACCGTTATTTTGACTTGCAAAAAGTTCGAGCAAAATTACAGTAATTTCCATGAAAAGTCAGGAAATTTTCGAAAAGAATTGCTCAATCTGGAGGGCACTAGATGGAT